TGTTATTGTAAAACTCAGGATTCAGATCTGCCATTGACGTGTGTCTGAGGCTCTGATACCAAGAAGAAATTCAAGAAGAAAGCTTAAAGAACTGAACGAAAAACTGCAGAGAAGAAACAGAGAGACGAAACAGAGAAGCTGTTATAACAAATTGCACTTTTTAGTAAAGTGTTTTTCTCATTAACTGTTCGAATCTTTCGCAGACACACTTATAATGCTGATGGTGACTAAAACGCACCATTTACATAACTCATCAGAGTTTACAAAATAACCCAAGCCATTTTTTCTATTCTTACAATTTCACCCCAGGTTTCTACAAACTAAACAAAACATAAACTGTAATAGAAACCAAAACAGCGCATGCGAATACACTTCATATCACAATAATCCTCCACCTTTAATTTCACTGTCTTTAAGCCTAAAGGGCAAACTAATTTGTTCTTTGACCTCCCATTACATTTGTCATCTTTCTTTACTAGTTATTGTAGATGCAAAAAAATCTACCTTTAAGAAAATAGGGACTGATCTCATGAGATTGAGACCACTAGCAATCCGTTGTACCTGCACACGCAAAAAAATAAACGTGAAGCGAACGAAAAACATCGAAATGGTGTTTGCCGTAAACACTCCGACACTCAAGTCAACAAAGCCGAATAAGGCTAATTTAGTAAGGGTTAGAGAGAGAAGGTTACTAGAAGTCTAGTCGAAGACTATAACTACGACTGTGATGCGAAATTCTCGAGAGTGAGAATTATGGGGTCTGAAGGTGTAATGCCTATCCCTTGTGAGAGGGTTAGCCTCTGTTAAAATAGTGACTATAGGAGCTTCGAATCCTAGTAGGACTGTGAGTCCTTAAAGTCGAGGTTTCGTGAAAAATGTGAACTTTTGGTTCCCTTACCTTAGTGGAGAAAGGGAGTCCCAGCAGGCCTAAGACACGAATCTTAGATGAATTAGGGTAGTGATGGACTTCTTCGATAGAGTTCGGATAGTACTGAGATAAGTAGGCGACCCTAGGTTCCAAGTAGATCCTAAGTCCAGAAGGTGGTCTAGGATCAGAGGGCTTGGGCCCAGATAAACTGACAGTGATGTCTAAACAAATCGGATCTCTACTGATTGGGTCCAAATGATGAGTAATTGGGTAGTTGTACCGAACGGACTTGACATGCAAACTCTGTTACAGACCCAATCGGAATTGGGCCTCAGCTTCGAGCTTTGTTGAAGGTGTCTTTGTTTTTGGGCCTATTTAGGTCAAGGGTATTTTTTTGGCCCAGCCATTAAATTAACAAACTATTTATGAAATATTTCTGATTAACAAAGACGCAAATCAAATTATCATGGAAAAATAAATAAAAAGAGAAATTAAAACAATTGAAAGTAAAGTACATTCAACATTCTTCATTATGCTAAGAAGCTGACTCTGATCGTGATAGGTCAGTTATTATCATAATTTTAAACATCTTAATCAAAAGTCAAGAATCTTTTTCAGAGAAAAGACGGACAGAAGACTTGCAGTATTACTTTCGTTTGCTTCGGCTTCTTGACCTTAGTTTTGTGTTTTCCATATCACGTTCGACACGTACTTATCCATTTATCTAAATTTATTTAGTTATACCGTGTAAATGACTACAAACAATGTACCATTTACCACGTTCACTCGTTTTTCATATACACGTTCATTTTATATACTGATTTTCATGCATGCATGGGACCCTTATTTTCTGAACTTCACTTGGACTTGATCATTTGTTTTACTTTCATATTCTAGACGCCAGAAAATTCTTCTATTCTTCCGAGTTGAGATGTCATCTATACGTCAATCAGTATGAATTATATTCTCTTTTCTTTGTTAAGGTTCAATCATTTGTTTGATCGGAGATCAAGTTTTACACGCACCAAGTAATCCATATATTCACAATCCAAATTCATTGAAAATCCGAAAAGATTTTTATTGATTTCTTCAATTTTGAAGTAACTTAAAAGGGTGTTTGGTTACCAAGAAAACTGAAAAAGTGTAAGAAAATATGAAAATGTTCGAGAGAGTTCAGAGAAGATTTTCTTTTCGTAGTATATCACCTTTATTATCTGTTCAGTTGACATGGTTTTATTTATGTCATCTTATATATGCTCCTACAATCATGTATAGATCATTTTATCTATTTCCAATTCTAATTATATAACTACATAGTAATGAATTATTAGATGATATTTTTTATCCATTTGGTACATTGACGATATTATATATATACACGAAAGACTCTAATTACAGCAATACTTTCTATCATCATCATGATCTAACTTCTAGGAGTCACTTAGAAATTACTTTTGCTCTTTAGTTGTACAAGAAAATTTGTTATTTCACTTTTCCATTAATTATCTATCAATAAATGATTCGTATGGCCGGTATTTTTTTTCAAAGAGTTTACATTAGATATTATATATATACACGAAAGACTCTAATGACATCACTTTCTATCATCATCATGATCTAACTTCTTAGAAATTACTGTTGCTCTTTAGTTGTACAAGAAAATTTGTTATTTCACTTTTCCATTAATTATCTATCAATAAATGATTCGTATGGCCGGTATTTTTTTTCAAAGAGTTTACATTAGATATTATATATATACACGAAAGACTCTAATGACATCACTTTCTATCATCATCATGATCTAACTTCATAGAAATTACTGTTGCTCTTTAGTTGTGCAAGAAAATTTGTTATTTCACTTTTCCATTAATTATCTATCAATAAATGATTCGTATGGCCGATATTTTTTTTCAAAGAGTTTACATTACCAGTACATGCGTGTTTCAAGTTTAAATATTAATGGTTTTGTTCAGTGTAATTATGATTATTACAATTATTATTTATATAAGTTAAGGAATGAGTTGATTCAAAAGATTAAATTAGTAAAGATCTAAACGTTAATATTTAAGTTTAATAGGTTCTTTAAATATAATGTAAAGCAAATTTTACGATCATAGAATTAGTTTAAATGAGTTGATTAATGAATCTAGCTAAGATGTTTTATTTAATTGATTGAATGAACTAATTGCGAAAATTTTCCAAGACATTTAACTAATGAATTAAATGATTTGAAACTCTTGAAGGACTAAAATATGATATATTTGACTTGGATACCATATTAAGAATCTATGTAATTAACTTAAAAGTTTAAGTTATTAAATATTTCAAGACACAAGATTAGTGTATTTAGTCTAACACAATTGAACAAGAAGTATAACTCGAAAGAAACCCAAAGGGTTGGCCTGACAATCAAGGAGATTTGTTACCTTCATTGACTTCTTAGGGTCACTTATCACATTGTGACTTACCTAGTCCTTTGGGCTTGTAAGGTATGTAAAGGATCTCGGAGATTAGTTGAGATACATGCAAGCTAGACCGAACACCTTAATTACCAAAATAAAAAAACAATAAAACAATAATGTTTTACTTACAACTTAGTTATACGACCAAAAAAAATTATATAAAATTTATGTAAAATAACTACTATATCCTTTGTTTTTTATCTGATTGTATGACTCAATTGTAAATATAGCATTATCCATAAAAAATATATATATATAACTTGAAAGAGAAATGTTTTAATCTAATAGACATACCACGTCTAAGACCCATTTGAAGAAGCTCTTATATCAGAAGTTTAAGCTATCAAATAATTAGAATCCAAGAAAAATATGTAAGTCAAACACAACTGAACTACAAATCTAACTTGAAAGAGAGATGTTTAAGTAGATATAATGGACATATATAGACATGAAATGTATATATGACTAGGAATTATTTTGTGTAGAGTAAGATTGACTTTCGAAAATGGATCGTTTATTTGTTAAATTTATGTAAAATTATAATAATATTCTATTAAATAAGCATGTCATCAATATAACGATTATATCGAACATCCTGGTTATTAAACCCAAAAGATTTACTATGTCGAAGATCCTGGTTATTCAACTCAAAGACTAATAAAATCCAAGTCCATGCCTTAATTATTCAATATGAAACTCTAAAATATTATTATTGTTTGTTGCAATCTCGTTTTAACAGTTTTATATACGAAAACAATTTTTTTTAAATATGGTAATTGGTCATCCCTCGGTATAACTTGAACTCAAGATCGAGGGTGCTTTCAACCATGCATCCCTCTATCCATCCGATCACAAATGAGTGGTTGGAAACAGTTTTTAATTTAACTTAAAACGATAAACCAATTACATCATTTGCCTTTTGGAATAATGCTTGGCAAGTACTAAGGAAAAACAAAAAGAAGAAGAAGAAGAACGAGAATAGAAGAAAATTTTGAGGAGTCAAGCCTGTAATGAGAAGTTTGCAATATCACAACAGAAGAATTTTAAAAATGTTATGAGGATATGCTTTAAGGAATACTAATATGTCCATATTCGCTTATCATATAATATTTCATCCCTTTTATGTTTTATTAAATAAGATTTCTTTTCCTAAATATTTTATAGTTAAATAAATATCAAAATTAAAATAAATAGAGTAAAAGAGTTGTTAAGATCAATTATATACATGTATCATATCAACTTAATTAAAATTGAAATTTTGTAATTTTAATATTATATGTTTGATTTTTTTTATTATTATTTTGGTATTTATTAATGTCAAATAGTCATTTTTTTTCAAAATGCCTAACTTTTCTATTACGTACCAAATAAATTATTAATAAAATGGCGAAAGCAGGAAACTATACAGTTACTCCTGGTTGTTGTTTACTTCTTCTGGGTGCACGCCGCGTTGTTATGGTCAAAAATGAAAAATATATATCAACACGAGGCCTAAACGTTAAACAAACATACAATGTTCCGTGAGCTACCTTGTGTGAAACGACAATACAAAAACCTGACGACGCTATAAAAGTTTATGCATGCTGCGGCTTCTGCCCCAAGCTCACTTCTAACACTTATTACTTTTCATCCCATTAAACCTCCATGCCATCTCTTGTTTTCTTGAAATCATGTCCAAAAGGAGATGGCAGTTGGCTGTAAAAACCATCTTTTGTTCCAGAATTCTCCTCTCACTACTGCACGATGCTCAAGCCAAGAAAAATAAATGCTTCAACATTGATTTAACAAGTCTCAGTGAGCTTGTCAAGCAGAAAAATCTATACCAACTTCAAAAGTATGGAGGGATTGATGGTGTAACTTCCGCTTTGGAAACTGATCTTGAGATGGGGATTCGTGGTGATGATGCTGATATTGCTCGTCGATATGAAAAATTTGGTTCCAACAAGTATGAGACACCTCCTGTAAAGAGCTTCTTTCATTTTCTGAAGGATGCTCCTAAACAGGTCATAAATGTCATCCATTTAACTTGTGCAGCCGCTTCTCTTGGATTTGGCATTAAAACGCGTGGTCTTAAGGAAGGTTGGTATGAGGGTGGAAGCATATTTGCCGGTGTCATTGTGTTCATATCCATCTCGGCTGCAAGCAACTTTTACCGAAGCAGACATTTCAACTTGTTATCAACAAAAGTAGTACGCAACAATGTCCAAGTTGATGTTGTTAGAAACGGAAGGAAGCAGCGAATGTCTATGTTTGAGATTCTCGTGGGAGATGTAATTTGCCTCAAGCATGGAGACCAAGTTCCCGCTGATGGATTGTACTTAGATGGGCACTGTTTGCAAGTGGATGAATTAAGCTTAACGGGACATAGTGATCGCTATGTGGCGGTAAATAGCAGCAACAATCCATTCTTGGTTTCTGGAACCAAAGTGTGCATGGTTGAAGGAGATGCTTGGATGCTCGTGACTTCAGTTGGAAACAACACAGTGTTGGGCGAAATTCTCAACCATATGAATCTTGTCACCAGCGAACAGATGAATCCACGAACTCGACTGGATAACCTAGTCTCATCTATGTTTCTGCTTTATTGTCTCATTTGTACTTTTAAAAACATATTCAGCATATTTCAAGAGAACTTAATTTGCATTTTGTTTTTACTTGATGGCCCTGGCTCCCTCAGCAAACTCAATAGAACACATCGCTTGACTTTTCCCAACATATATCGTTCCATAATACAGCCGTTTCTTTCAAAAAAAGCTGTAGCCAAGAATCACTGTACATCTTCCACCGTTAATGACAATGTTAATTTGGGCAATAACTTCTTCAAGATTGATCGAAAAAGTCTCACTCAGCTTTTCCAGGAGAAAAATTTCGATCGACTTCAAGAGTTTGGAGGAATTGTTGGAATGGCTCATGCCTTGTATACGGATGTAGACAAAGGGATTCGCGGTGATGTCGAAGACGTTGCACGCCGACTTGAGGCCTTTGGTTCCAACGAATATGAGAAACCGCCATCCAAGAGCTTCTTGTATATTTTTGTGGAAGCTCTTAAGGATCCAACAATTATCATCCTCTTAATTTGTGCTTCATTGACTCTTTTTTTGGGCATTAAAAGGCATGGCCTGAAACAAGGGTGGTATGATGGTGGAAGCATATATATATCTGTCGTTCTTGATACTGCTGTCTCTTCTATAAGTAACTTCAGGCAGAACAAACAATTTTATGAGTTCCCGGAAGTCGACAACAATAGGAAAATTGATGTTGTCAGAGGCGAGAAGCTCCAACAAATATCAGTTGTCCAGATTGTCGTTGGAGATGCAATTTTTTTAAAGACTGGAGACAAAATTCCTGCCGATGGTTTGTTCTTAGATGGATCTTCGTTGCAAGTGGCCGAATCAATCATGTCATGGCAAAGTGATCTGATGGAAGTAAAAAGCAGTCAGAATCCATTCTTGTTTTCTGGCACCATGGTGGTCAACGGGCATGCTCGAATGCTTGTTACTTGTGTAGGTATGAACACAGTATGGGGCAAGAAAATGAGTCAAATCAGCCAAATCACCGGTGAAGAAAATTTATTGCAAGCTCAGCTCAATGAGCAAACCTCTCAAATAAGTAAGGTTGGGTTATTAGCTGGTTCAAAAGCTCTTCTAGTCTTGTTGGCTCTCTACTTCAAAGGTGGACACAAAAAACAAGATCTCAATGGCAACAATACAGAAGTTGATAACATAGTGAATGCTGTGATGGGGAATATACCTACAGCAATTACTGTTGCGTTAGCTGCAATTCCAGAGGGTTTGCCGTTGGTTGTTATATTTGCTCTTGCTTATTCAACGAAGAGAATGATGGCGAAACTGGCAGTGGTGCGGAATATTGCTGGTTGTAGGACCATGGGTTCTGTCACAACCATATGCACTAACAAAACAGGAATACTGTCGCTCACCAAGATGAAAGTGACAAGGTTCTGGCTAGGCCAAGAATTAATTGAGGAGGGTTCTGCTGATTCATTAATTTCTTCAAATCTTCTTGAATTACTAAAGCAAGGTGTTGCTCTAAATACAACATGGACTGTCAACAGGACAACTTCAGGATCTGAATTCAAATTCTCAGGCAGTCCTACTGAAGAAGCAATTCTTTCTTGGGCTGTCTTGGAAATGAAAATGGACGTGGAAGAAGTGCAACGGAGTTGTTCTATAATGAGCCTCGAAGCCTTCAATTCACAGAAGAAACGAAGTGGGATTTTGATAAAGAAGGCTGACAACATAATCCACATGCATTGGAAGGGAGCAGCCAAGATAATTCTAGCAATGTGCTCAAATTACTACGATACTTCTGGAGTCGTGAAAGATCTGGATGTTCACACAAGGAAGAAATTCGAGTTAATTATTGAAGATATGGGAGCTAGTAGCCTTCGATGCATTGCTTTTGCGCATAAGCAAGTTTCAGAAGAAAAGTTAGAAGGCACAAATGAACAGAAAGAGCTAAATGATCAAGGTTTGAGCCTAATAGGACTTTTGGGTATCGATAACCCATGTCCGCAAGAGGTCAAGAAAGCTGTTGCAAGTTGCCAATTAGCCGGAGTGAACATCAAAATGATCACATCTGACAATGTTTCCACTGCAAAAGCCGTAGCCACTGAATGTGGGATACTCAAGTCAAATGAATACACGTCAAACAAAGCAGTTGTAGAAGGAGAGGAATTTAGAAACTATACACCAGAAGAAAGAATGGAGAAAGTTGACAAAATCTGTGTGATGGCGAAATCTTCTCCCTTGGACAGACTTCTCATGGTTCAATGCTTGAAACAGAAAGGTCATGTGGTTGCAGTCTGCTCAAGCAATCGGGCCAATGATCAACAAGCAGTGAAAGAAGCTGATATAGGACTCAATCTGAGGACTCATCGAGGCGCTTTTGGAGCTGAAGAGAATTCTCATTTCATTATTTTTGATGGTAATTTTGCGTCTGTAGCGACAATTTGGAGGTGGGGGAGATGCATTCACATCAATATCCAGCAATTCATTGAGTTTAGGCTCGCTGGATATCTGACTGCTCTTGTAACCAACTTTGTGACGACACTGTCCTCAAGAGAAGAACCTTTGACACCAGCTGAATTACTATGGACACAATTAATCATGGACACATCAGGTGCTTTGGCTCTTGCTACAAAGCCGCATTCTGACGAGGAGCTTGTGAAGAAGAAACCGTCCTCGGATCTTACAGGACCATTTATAACAAAAACTATGTGGAGAAACCTACTAGCTCAAGCTTTGTATCAAACGGTTGTCCTCTTAACCTTGCGGTTTAAAGGCGAACCAATTTTTGGTGTAAGTAAAAAGGTAAGACGTACCATGGTCTTCAACAGTTTTGTCCTTTGCCAGGTCTTGAATCTGGTTAATATAAGGAAATGGTATAAGAAGAATGTGTTAAAGTGGATACTAAAGGACAAGATATTTGTGTTGACAATGGGAGTGACAATTGTCCTTCAATGGGCAATGGTGGAAGTTTCAAAGAAGTTTGCAAACACAGCGAGTCTGGATTTGGAGCAGTGGGGTACATGTATTGGAGTGGCAGCTGTTTCTTGGCTAATTGATTGGGTTGTCAAGAGCATACCAGTCACGGACAAGCCGATTTAGAAGTGTCTACATCTCTAGCGGAAAAACTATTTATTTCGTGACCCTTTTCCAAAGTTTAAAGTGGAAAGAAGACTCGAGAACATCAATCACCAATCATATATTTGAATTTTTGCCTTCTGCTTTGCATATTCTAATGGAAATATAAAAGTATTGTCAATTTTATTTGAGCTTTTAAAGATATATACTTTTTAATATACTATTTAATATTTGTTTATGTTAAAGTTTTTGTCGTGGTTCACTTTTCTTGGTGACTCAGCTCGTAATTAATAGTGCATCCTTCGTATAAGTGTTTGTTAGTTTGTAAAGTTTTTTTTTTTTTTTTTTCCTCTTATTATTGAAATGTTTGGACCAGTTTACATATTTTTTTTATCATTAAAAGTATTCGGATTAGTTTATACCACCTCAACTAATCTTCTTGGACTCTGAAATAATCAATTGGGTAAAAACCCTAGCGAGAACTTCTATTAATAAGACTCAAACTCAAAGCTTATAGAACCTTCTTTTATTCTTTTCTCATAAGATCATCCAATGTATTTTGGACATTAATAACGAAACATATTGATTACAATAGTAGGAACTCATGTGTAAAGAGGCTTACATAGAAATTATGAGCTCTTCTGAAAAAGAAATTTTACCTATCCAGATACAACTTACTAAAAGTGGATATCAATCAAAATGATTAACTTATCAATATAAATGCTACAATTTTCTCTTTTAAACTTGAGGGGTGGGAGTGTAAGGTTCGAGACAAAAAAGTTTTTCCTATTGGAGCCCTATAAACTATGTCATTACTCATTCCATGAACGTAGTGTTTTTGTTCGATGGAATGCGGTGCGGCTTTCACTGTTTCGTTATGTTTTTAATTGAATAATATATATGGGATGAGAATATCCCATGTAAATATTTATGAAGTTTTTAGTTCAATGAACTTTTTATGGATTCATGGAGTGAGAACGCTTATTTATTATACACTTTGGCCGAGACTGCAATTTTGTAAGGATGAAGATGAGGATAATATTGTAATCATAAGTATAAAATATAATACCTATTTTGTTTTTTCCTTAAATACAATTTTGGTAATGGGGTGGGCCGTGGGAAGATCACTTTTCCCATTGTATTATGCAAGCGGGTACAAATCTGATGTGGCACTGAGTTGGTATTATCACAATCTTAAGGGCCAATTCCACTTAATCATAGTAATTGGATCAGAGGGCAACATAATTTAAATTTATTTCATAAATAGGGGTTAATTCCCTCTTGTTTCAACAATATGCGGGCTTCACCAACTGTTGAGGATAGTATTTTAGTCTTAGCATAAGTTTAATATTGTAATTTATATATTAAAAAAAAAACACCTTACTTTTCCTGTAAAATGTAACAGACAATAATATTTTTTTTTTCTTGTAAAAGTTTAATCTGCTGATGTGATACTATATAATATTACTATTGAATTCTCATATAATGTTTGTTTTAAGTTTCTGATATTTATTTTGGATTTTTTTATCAGTTCTTCCATTATCCCCTGTCACAATATGTCTTTGCAATCTGTTTGAGCAAACAAATTATGTTTATCAGACTGGTTAAGGTGGATATACATATATTAACAATATAGTGCTACAAGAATCATAATATGGATTCGCTTTCACTTGCCACCTAAGATTGATTGAAGCTTTTGAGCTTAATTTGAGCATGTATGGCAATTGATTGGTATTGGTACCTTTCAAGTATGTTACTGATCAAGAATGGTAAGATTAGAAGTTTGCTGGGAATTGCAAAGACACAGTAAAACATTTTCATGATATGATGATACCCAAATTATATTCATTCCAAAATCATACCATTCATAGCTTTGAATAGCTATGTAATTACATTGTACAAAACAATCAAAGTTGATTTACAGTTTGCTACTTCTCTGTTTTGATATGCTCCCCATGGCCTTGGCCTTCTCCCTTAGAACAAATTTTTGTGTTTTTCCAGTGGAAGTCTTTGGCAGATCCTGGAAAACAACGGAGCGAGGAGCCATAAAATGTGGCAAGCGACTCCTACAATACTTTATAAGTTCCTCGGAGCTAGCATCACAGCCATCCTTTAACTTCACAAAAGCACAAGGTGTCTCCCCCCAATGGTCATCTGGTCGTCCTACCACAGCTGCTTCAAGCACTGATGGATGACTGAAAAGTACAGATTCCACCTCAATTGTGCTGATATTTTCTCCTCCAGAAATAATAATGTCTTTCGATCTGTCTTTTAATTCGATATAACCGTCAGGATGTTTCACCCCCAAGTCCCCACTTCGAAACCATCCACCATTAAAGGCATCCTGTGTTGCTTTGGAGTTTTTCAAATAACCATTCATCACAGTGTTGCCTCTAAACATGACTTCACCCATTGTTTTAGCATCTGGTGGCACACTCTTCATTGTTACAGGATCTTTGATATCTATTTCTTCCATTCCAAGATGGTGCAACCCTTGGCGGGCCTTGATCTTTGCCTGTACATCCCGAGGCAATGAATCCCATTCAGGTTTCCAGGAACAAACTGTTCCAGGACCATAGGTTTCTGTCAAACCATACGAGTGTGTCACTGTAAAACCTAACTCTTCCATACTGAAGAGTACTTGTGGGGGAGGAGGGGCACCTCCTGTCATCACTACTACCTTACCAGGGAGAGGCCTTCTTTCACTAGCAGGTGCATTTACTATCATGTTAAGAACTGTGGGTGCACCACCTAAGTGGGTTACCTTGTACTGAGCAACATTATCAAATATTCCCTTCGCATTGACAATCCTTAGGCAGACATTTGTTCCACCCTGAGCAGCCACAGCCCATGTGAGGCACCAACCGTTGCAATGAAACATCGGGACACACCAGAGATATGTAGGCATTGAGCTCATCTCATTGAGTAGAGCTGCAGCTAGAGAATTGAGATATGCACCTCGATGGCTATAAATGACACCTTTTGGGCTTGAAGTGGTGCCAGAAGTGTAGTTCAGGGTAATAGGATCCCATTCATCTTTTGGTCGTCTAACTTCAAAATCCAGTTTTCCCTCTGCCAAAAGACTCTCATATTCTAAGTTTTCATGAGTGGGAATCGGTTTCCTAACCGTGCTGCCCTCTGGTATTATTACTAGAAGGGGCAGCTTGGTTGTAGCCTTGGCTAGAATTTCAACTGCTCCCCGAGCAGTATTCAGAAGCTGATAATCTACAAAAATTATTTTGGCTTCTGAATGTTTCAGTAACACTGCCACCATAGCTGAATCATGACGCACATTTAGTGTACAGAGAACAGCTCCAGCCATTGGAACACCAAAATGTAGCTCATACATTGCAGGAATGTTTGGGGCCAATGCAGCAACCTACTCAAATGGGAAAAGGAAAAGAATAAAGATTAATAAAAACTGGACAAGGAATAAATAAAAATGGCAGCAAAGAAAAGTCAGATATACATCAACAAACTTCATCGATTTTCCAATTCAAAACATACTCACATAAACAGCTCCATGACATGTATAGCATCTGTAAAAACTCATTTATCAGCTCAACATCACACCATGTCTTTTCATAATAATGCTCATACTTTGCTGTATTACATGGTTAAATTGAAGACAACATTAACTGTTCTCAACTAAGTATATGATGTCATGATAATTTAAATTCAAACACTATCAGAAGAAAATGTTATATTATTTCATTTGTAAGATTCGCATTACTTGACCAAACAAGATTCTTCTATATTCAAACACTTGATTGAAACCTTCATTTAATTAATATAGAAAACATATGCTAGCATGTAAATAACAAGTAAAAGAGTATTCATGAATTGCTACAAAATAGACATAAAACATACAATCAGACGGCAAGCTCATTGGCAAAAACTCCACAAGCAGAAATCACATCATGAAAATTTCAGAGAAAAACCATTACAACCAAGAATTAAAAATCAATAATCAAACGCAAGAAACAAAATATGGGTAAAAACCTAAGACTTACAACATCTCCACGAGAAATTCCCAAGTCAGCAAGTGCAGAAGCGAGCTTAATACACCTTTGATGTGTCTCTTTCCATGTGTACTTGACATCTTCATAGACAACAGAGAGTCTGTCTCTGTAAACAATAGCTGAGCGCTCCAAGAAGCTTATTGGAGACAGAGGAACGTAATTGGCGGAGCACTGGATTGTACCTTCCATCCTTATTGTCAATGCTTTTGGCAAAAGATTTCGTTAAAGATTACTGGATCAATCAATCACATTACATAGAACATCAGTTTTCAAAGTCAAAAAAATGGGGCAAGTTATTATTTCATAAATTCACCTTTTAATCAGCATGTCAATGGCATAAAAATATGCCCACTCAATAACTCAAACATTTCAATGGCATAAACATATGCCCACTCAATAACTCAAACATGTCAATGGCATAAACATCATGGTGAACTCCATTAAAACTCACGCCTACCACATAAATGAAAATACTACTAGTTTGAATTACTATGATGATTATATTCACTGTGCAAAGATAGGCGCAATAAGCATCTTCAAGTTGGTAAAAATAAGACGTAGTGCGTAACAGGTCTGAATCCTAGGCATATTGTGGTTTAACATATCAAAAAACCATGACAAACATAAAACAACAACCCCTACCAATTCTATGATAACACCCAAACAAGAAATTTATAAATCTAACAGTCTAAGAAGAGGAAATCAATCACTGAAGCATAAGCATAATCATGACAACACAACAACAACATAACATAACATTCTTCAAAGGTAAATGAACATCCATCACTAAAAACATGAATTTTTCATTCACCATAATTTCACCATAATTAGATCATGGACTTATTACCTCTCTGATACATGCTCGAAAACAGAAGAATAAACCAAAACAGTTTCATGATCCCTTTTTGCTTCCTCCCCAATTCTTTGAAAAATAACTCAGTAACACATAAAACAGAACTTTGCATTATAATTATGCGTTTGAAAAATCCAAACTTAAAAAGT